AGCCTAGGCCGTTTTGCTGTTTCGCTAAATAATGAATTTTCATGCCGAATTTACGTCAATGACCCAAAAATACTCGATTCCGTATCGATCCGCGAAACGTGCCGTGAAATTGGGGAGAAATCACTTGTGACAATTTTCGTTTTTCACCCGTTTTGTCTTCCCTTTCTCAGCCTATCATTTACATCCAGGCTCGCCCGGCGGGAATCCGCTAATTTGCTTTTTTGGGTTTTTCAGCAGATCGTAATACCTAAAGAATTCATTTATTTGGGCCCATCCGTCAATGGCCATTTAGGGTCTGGGGGGAGGCTGCAACCTATTGTAGCGCTGCGAGAGAGAGAGAGAGAGAGAGAGAGAGAGAGAGCGAGAGAGAGAGAGCGAGGCAGAGAGAAAACAAGATCAGCAATCATACCCAACCTATGGAATGCGTGTTCCCCGTTTCGTCGTTTCGTGTAGCAGGGAAAAGGGATCGGATCCGGCGGACGCGCGAAGCGCCGCTCAAAAAAGTCGGCAAATACCCATTTGTTTCACGCTCTGATGGCTCGTGGTTTGGGTTCTCGGCGCGGTGAAATTCCGCTCTGTTAACTGTAAGCTTACAGCAGCCAGTTTGATATCTACCTGTCACTGCTAGCCTGCCCTCTCCTCTTCCTCAACAATCTCTGCTAGCCTGCCCTCTCCTCTTCCTCAACAATCTCTGCTAGCCTGCCCTCTCCTCTTCCTCAACAATCTCTGCTAGCCTGCCCTCTCCTCTTCCTCAACAATCTCTGCTAGCCTGCCCTCTCCTCTTCCTCAACAATCTCTGCTAGCCTGCCCGCCGTCTTCCTCAACAATCTCTGCTAGCCTGCCCTCTCCTCTTCCTCAACAATCTCTGCTAGCCTGCCCTCTCCTCTTCCTCAACAATCTCTGCTAGCCTGCCCTCTCCTCTTCCTCACCAATCTCTGCTAGCCTGCCCTCTCCTCTTCCTCAACAATCTCTGCTAGCCTGCCCTCTCCTCTTCCTCAACAATCTCTGCTAGCCTGCCCTCTCCTCTTCCTCAACAATCTCTGCAGCCTGCCCTCTCCTCTTCCTCAACAATCTCTGCTAGCCTGCCCTCTCCTCTTCCTCAACAATCTCTGCTAGCCTGCCCTCTCCTCTTCCTCAACAATCTCTGCTAGCCTGCCCTCTCCCTCTTCCTCAACAATCTCTGCTAGCCTGCCCCTCTCCTCTTCCTCAACAATCTCTGCTAGCCTGCCCTCTCCTCTTCCTCAACAATCTCTGCTAGCCTGCCCTCTCCTCTTCCTCAACAATCTCTGCTAGCCTGCCCTCTCCTCTTCCTCAACAATCTCTGCTAGCCTGCCCGCCCTCTTCCTCAACAATCTCTGCTAGCCTGCCCTCTCCTCTTCCTCAACAATCCCTGCTAGCCTGCCCTCTCCTCTTCCTCAACAATCTCTGCTAGCCTGCCCTCTCCTCTTCCTCAACAATCTCTGCTAGCCTGCCCTCTCCACTTCCTCAACAATCTCTGCTAGCCTGCCCTCTCCTCTTCCTCAACAATCTCTGCTAGCCTGCCCTCTCCTCTTCCTCAACAATCTCTGCTAGCCTGCCCTCTCCTCTTCCTCAACAATCTCGCTAGCCTGTCCCTCTCCTCTTCCTCAACAATCTCTGCTAGCCTGCCCTCTCCTCTTCCTCAACAATCTCTGCTAGCCTGCCCTCTCCTCTTCCTCAACAATCTCTGCTAGCCTGTCCTCTCCTCTTCCTCAACAATCTCTGCTAGCCTGCCCTCTCCTCTTCCTCAACAATCTCTGCTAGCCTGCCCTCCCCTCTTCCTCAACAATCTCTGCTAGCCTGCCCTCTCCTCTTCCTCAACAATCTCTGCTAGCCTGCCCTCTCCTCTTCCTCAACAATCTCTGCTAGCCTGCCCTCTCCTCTTCCTCAACAATCTCGGCTAGCTGTCCTTTTTCACTTCCTGAACAATCGCGCACGGATCATCCCAATCAGTCACGCTCTATTTGATTTGCAGGTCGCCCGATTACATGGATATGGAGATTAGGCATGAGATTTGAGCCTAATCGCTACCTTGGCTACCGTACCTGGCATTTCCTGTATTTTTCGCGGTATTTGCCCCCTAATTTGCATATCTAAGGTGCTAATCCCCAAGACATTTGTTGGGCCAAGGCCACACATTTGTAACCTGCCCAGGGAGAGGCAGGCTAGCAGAGATTGTTGAGGAAGAGGAGAGGACAGGCTAGCAGAGATTGTTGAGGAAGAGGAGAGGGCAGGCTAGCAGAGATTGTTGAGGAAGAGGAGAGGGCAGGCTAGCAAAGATTGTTGAGGAAGAGGAGCGGGCAGGCTAGCAGAGATTCTTATGGCTTCTTGACCTTACAGTCCCTTAAAACGTTTCCACCCCTATCCAATCGATGATCAACGGCAAGAATGTGCTCCGCCACCCGTGATTTCGGCCGTTTCCCCCATTTGCGGTGTTCATTTCTTCCAATTTTTTTGGGGGGTGGTCTGGGGGAAATCGCCCGTTCGCGCCCAATTCCCTATCTTTCTCTCTCTCTCTCCCTCCCCTCTCTCTCTCTCGCTCTCTTTATCTCTCTCGCTCTCACGTTTCCGCAATTTTCGATCCAAACAGCTCCTCCTTACGTCTCGATCACTGGAAATGATTGGGACTTCTTGCTCTTAACGTTATTTGTTTATTTTTAGAGCGAATCTTTCCAGTTTTGAAGACAGCGAGAGAGGGGGAGAGGCAGAGAGAAAGAGATAGAGAGAGAGTGAGAGAGAGAGAGAGAGAGAGACAGAGGGAGAGAGCAACTCTTCGAGTATGGTTTTCGGAAAGTGCACATGCCCCCGGGGCATATTTCGAGGGCTAGCAAGTGTGCATAGTTAGTCGGCGTAGTGCGCGCGCGGGGGGATATTCCGCGTTATGCCATAATTGCATGCATCGTGCGGGGGCAGAGTTGTTGCGGGCGGGGTGGAATAGTTTCGGGCGCGGATGGTTTCGTGCGATTTGCATGCCGGGAACTTTCGATTTTTGCTAAAATAGATGTTCCTGAGCTTAAGCCTAAGCCTAATCCTAGGCTAAGCCTAAGCCTGAACCTAAGCCTAAGCCTAAGCCCATCCCTCGGCCTAAGCTACATTTTTTTACTGTGTTTTTCGGTTGCGCCCACGACTTTTTCCTGACATTTTTTGCTAGTCCAGACTAGGGATGCTAATTTTTGGCCGGGTCGACCGGGCTGGTGTACGGTTCGTGGCGCGGGTGTCACTAGGGGAGGGGCGGCTGGGCGCCGGAGCGTATGCAAATCTCCGCCCTCGCAGCTAGCCCCTCCTCTCTCTCTCTCTCTCTCTCTCTCTCTCTCTCTCTCTCTCTCGCCTCCCCAATCCTCGGCCCTAAAATAATAATCGCCTAGTAGGGGGGCACATGCATCGCCCCCCATCTCTTGCTAACTACGGTCAGCTGTTTTTGCACTTTCCTCAAGGATCTCTGCCAGCCTGCTCTTTCCTCTTCCTCAACAATCTCTGCTAGCCTCTCTTATCATCCTTTCTTTCCTCCAATTTTCTCGGTGATCCGCGAAAACTCTGCTAGCCCGCCTAACCGATTTTTTCCACCAAAAACTCCGCTAGCGCGCTCGGTTTCGCCTGTTTACTGAAAATTACCAAAAAAACTTCTGCCAGACTGCCCTAACTAATTTATTTATGTTGCCCCCAAGAGTCTCTGCTGGCTTGCTCACTTCCTCACTTTTCGACCCTATTTTTGAGCAGAAAATTTTCGAGATTCACAGCCCCTTTAAAAGCCACTTTAAAGGCCTTCGAAAGGCAACAAATTATGGGGGATGAGTCGCGGGTGGCCGTTGGGTTATTGGAGTACCCTGGCCGGGGGGGTATTGTTGCACCGAATGCGCGAACATTTCCGCTCCAACACTCATTCCGAACCGGCCAACAAGCGAGTATGTGTACGTTTCAATAGAGCGCGGGATGCGCGCACGATTTTGTACCCAGGGGGCACAATTTGCATAGATATCCTTCTCTCTCTCCCTCTCTCTCCCTTTCTCTCCCTCTCTCTCCCTCTCTCTCCCTCCCTCTCCCTTTCTCTCCCTCTCTCTCTCTCTCTCTTTCTCTCACGCTCTCTTTCGCTCTACAAAAACAGCCATCCGTGGAACGTATTGTCGCGTAGTCGTAATTCTATGAAACTCCGGATATTTTATGATGCCCGTAAGGGCATTATAGCCTCCTTGTCCCTAGGGTCCAATCATCCTAAGGACTGCCCCGGAATAGCTTATTAATTAGCCCAGTATAAGGCCCAGCCAAATTCGGAATTCGTACTCCCTCGGAACTCGTGCTCCTCCCGTTCCTCAACAACCTCTGCTAGCCTGCCCTCTCCTCTTCCTAAACAATCTCTGCTAGCCTGCCCTCTCCTCTTCCTCAACAATCTCTGCTAGCCTGCCCTCTCCTCTTCCTCAATAATCTCTGCTAGCCTGCCCTCTCCTCTTCCTCAATAATCTCTGCTAGCCTGCCCTCTCCTCTTCCTCAACAATCTCTGCTAGCCTGCCCTCTCCTCTTCCTCAACAATCTCTGCTAGCCTGCCCTCTCCTCTTCCTCAACAATCTCTGCTAGCCTGCTCTCTCCTCTTCCTCAACAAACTCTGCTAGCCTGCTCTCTCCTCTTCCTCGACAATCTCTGCTAGCCTGCCCTCTCCTCTTCCTCAACAATCTCTGCTAGCCTGCCCTCTCCTCTTCCTCAACAATCTCTGCTAGCCTGCCCTCTCCTCTTCCTCAACAATCTCTGCTAGCCTGCCCTCTCCTATTCCTCAACAATCTCTGCTAGCCTGCCCTCTCCTCTTCCTCAACAATCTCTGCTAGCCTGCCCTCTCCTCTTCCTCAACAATCTCTGCTAGCCTGCCCTCTCCTCTTCCTCAATGTTTTCTGCTAGTTCTTGCTCCTCGCTTATTTTGTATTTGTTATAGTTTTTAGCGCACTCTTTCAACAAGTAATGTTCCAGGGACCACACAACTCTTTTGGCGTGATGCCATGTGGCTGACCGAACTGCTGATTGCCGGCTGTCTGGCCGCCGTTTTCGGTAAGTTCAAGAATTATTTTTCGGCAGGTTATTGAAAAACATGGGGAAAATAGTATTAGATAAAATCCAGTAAACTAAGATGCCAGTAAATAAATAAGATTTTAAGTTAATTTTTGGAAGGTTAAAAAGTTCCGGATCTATCCCCCCTTGATTTTTCCTGACTTTCACTCTGCACCCCAAATTTCCTGGTTCCGCCGGGCGTTGTTTTTTGCATTTTTTGGCGGGCCCAACGAGAGAGAGAGAGAGAGAGAGAGAGAGAGAGCGAGAGTGAGATGGAGAGAGTAAGAGAAACCGCGGCTGTTAATTTAATCCCATCTCGGGAACGATCAACAATTTTTGGCGAAGCCGAAAAATGAAGAAAATGGACCAAAATGACCTTAAAAATTCAAAAAAATGCTCAAAATAGCTTTAAAAACTTCGAATTAAGTGCTTAGAGCATAAGCTTATTAGCTTAGCTTAGCTTTGGGCTTAAACTTATGCTTAGGCTTAACCTTAGGTTTAGGGTCGCAAATCCACTCAATCTACAGTAATATCTGAGGCCCAGATCTAGCCGTCAGCGGAGCGTAGTGTCGCGTAATTATCTAGCAGCCAACTGACCGGGCGGGCGGCCCATAAAAATGCCCATAAAATCATCATCTCCTGCCCGGGCGTCCCGGGGAGCGTCGCGGAACCGGGGGTGCAAAACGGGGGCTCAATTCCGTTTCACTCCACCCAATTCCGGGGGCTCGATTTATTGGTTCTATTGGGGTGGATGAAGGGGTTTTGGAAATTGAAGGAATCTCTCTCGATCTCTCTCGCTCTCACTCTCTCTCGCTCTCTCTCGCTCTCCCACGCTCTCTGTCTCTCTCTCGCTCTTTCGCGCTCTCTTTCTCTTGCTCTCTCTCTCTCTTTCTCTCTCTCTTACTCTCTCTCCGCCTCTCTCGCTCTCTCCACCTGCCCTAGCTACTTTTTGCGCGATGATTAAAGAGCTGATCCGATACTTCGATTAGAATTAGGGTGTGAATCGGCCTCAGGGAGGCGAGAAAGAGGGAGAGAGGAGAGAGAGAGACAGAGAGAGAAAGAGAGGGACAGAGAGCTAGAGATAATATTCCCACCCCAATCGCCCTCAGGGATAGATATGTTCTAATGAGGCGCTGCGCGTCATCGGATTAGCCGACTTCAAATGGGCCGCCGCCTTGGCTTCGCTTCCCCATGCTACTCAATACATGTCCGTGTCCAAGCACAGATTGATGCAAATTTCGTGCACGAGAGGTAGTGAGAAAGAGAGAGCTGGAGAGAGAGAGAGAGAGAGAGAGAGAGAGAGAGAGCGAGCGATAAAGAGCTAGATACGGTTTCCATGTAAAAAAAATTTTTCAGGCCTGCGCCTAAATGGACGCGAGAACCGCGCCACCCGGATGTCGGTCGTGGATTTTTGGCAAAACGAGACGGAGGGTAAGTTTCACGCTTTGTTTTGTGGTTTTATTCTATGGCTACAAACTACAACCTACCTACCACAACCCCGAAACCTCTGTTTTAGGCGACGGACTGAACGTGAAGGTGGCGCACGCGATCAACTCGTGGCCAGATCTGGTCGGACAATTGCATGGTGGGTGCGAATTTGGCTTTTTAAGCTTCCTCAACAATCTCTGCTAGCCTGCCCTCCCCTCTTCCTCAACAATCTCTGCTAGCCTGCCCTCTCCTCTTCCTCAACAATCTCTGCTAGCCTGCCCTCTCCTCTTCCTCAACAATCTCTGCTAGCCTGCCCTCTCCTCTTCCTCAACAATCTCTGCTAGCCTGCCCCTCTCCTCTTCCTCAACAATCTCTGCTAGCCTGCCCTCTCCTCTTCCTCAACAATCTCTGCTAGCCTGCCCCTCTCCTCTTCCTCAACAATCTCTGCTAGCCTGCCCTCTCCTCTTCCTCAACAATCTCTGCTAGCCAGCCCTCTCCTCTTCCTTAACAATCTCAGCTAGCCTGCTAGCATGACACCATTCAAAAACCTGTAATTTCCGTCACAACCCGTGACGCCAAATGCCCGATAATTCGGTAATGGGCACCTATCCGCCCTGCTCGATGGGGCGTGCGCAAATTTTTTGCGGTTTTCGGGGGAACGGTCAGTCGGGGGAAGGTCCCGCCTGGATTTCGCAGGATCGCTCCATGATAGAAAAAAATTATAAACTAAAAACGAAGGCGGTGAGGGTGTATCCAATAGAGAGAGAGAGAGAGAGAGAGAGAGAGAGATAGAGAGAGAGAGAGAGAGATAGAGAGAGAGCGACAGAGAGCGGAAGACTGAGGAAACCATGTCTCCATTTATGCCTATAATTACAGCCCCCCAAAGCTGTCAATTGGCCCATTTGTATTATGCCCTCCGGGGGCGCATTTTTGGTGCCCGGCCAGGTGGAGGGCCATCTTCAAAGGGCCCACCCGGCCTCTGTATGCAAATTGCCGCCGATCTATATGAGGGGAAGGGGCGGTTTTTGGGGGTAAATTGCCCAAAAAAATGCAGAAAAATATCCGAAAATACCGACAAATATATGTTTTAAGCTTAAGTAAAATTAATTTTTGTAAATGCCAAGCGCTGAAAATTTTATTGTTTTTTTTTGGAACGTTTTTAATTTGCATTTTCAGAACCCTTCCTCAACAAGTCGCTGATGATCGAGGGTGATGTGTTCTTGCAGGTAAGAGGCCCCGGTGTCTCTCTCTCTCTCTCTCTCTCTCTCTCTCTCTCGCAATTTCGCTCTCCAGGCCCACCGTCGTCCCCGCCATCGTACGATCCCCGTGATGCAGTCCCGGAATTCGAGGATGGCCGACAGGATCACGTTTCGAGACTGGCTACGCGAGGTGGCGTCGTTGAAGAAGGGTACGGTATTTTTTTGATAGTTTTTTCTAGGTGTCACCATCCATTTAATGGGCCACAGAAGACAGATTTCGCAAATTTTTTAGTTTCTAAGGGGAGTTTCCCAGCTGGCCTAGGCCTCTCTCTAGGTGTCCCTAACCCTTTAAGGGCTCGTACAAGGAAGATCTAGGCTTTTCTGCGTTTTAAAGGGAGCGTGCCAGCTAGCCTAGACCCTGCCGAGGTGTCACCGTCCCTTTAAAGGGCCGTGAAGGCAGATTTCGGTTTTTTTTGCATTTTAAAGGCGCATGACAGCTAGTCGAACCTCTTTCTAGGTGTCCATATTCCTTTAAAAAACCCTGCAAGCCGATTTCACGCATTTTTCAGCCGGTTTTCCCTTTATACGGGACACGCGCGCAATATAACACCCATCCATCATTCCGTTCTGCGGTTTCCGAGCCAAACGCGGGAAGAAAGATGCAAATTGGGCTGAATCGGCGCGGCTACACGGCACTCCTATAGACGCACTGAGGGGGAGAGGAGAATTGGTGCGAAAATCCCACACCGCCACCCCTCCCGAAAACCCATCCATCATCCGCCGGGCGGGGCGTCCAGAAGCCGGACAGCGAAAACCCGCCAAAAATGGCACCAATTTGTTGCCGATTTTCTGGGGGAGGGGCGTAGGAAATGTGCGTAAAATAATAAAAACTAGTGTAAAAAGAGGAAACAATTTGTAAATTTGGGAAACGTGCTCTCTATCTCGAACTCGATCTCTCTCGCTATATGTTACTCGCGCTCTCTCGCTCGATCACCCTCTTTCTCGCTGAATCTCGCTCTATCCCGTTGAATCTCGCTCTATCTCGCTGAATCTCGCTCTCTCCCTCTCTCCCTGTCCCTCTCTCACTTTTTCTCGCTCTGTTCACGCTCCCTCTCTAGCTCTCTATGCCGCTCTACCACTCACGATCTCTCTCTCTCTCTCTCTCTCTCTCTCTCTCTCTCTATCACGCTCTGTAAATCACGCTTTCTCTCGCTTGTGCTCTCAGTCCCGCTCGCACTCTCTCTCCCACTTACGCTCTATCTCTCCATCTCGCTCACTCTCCCCCCTCTCTTTTTCTCTCACTCTCTCTCTCTCTCTCTCGCCCTCCTAAATTATGTAAAGGACTTGCGAAACAACTCGACAATTAAAAAATTAAGAATATTATTATCTCATGATCTTCGTTCATTCCCCATTTTTAGCGATAAAAATCAACTTCCGGACAACAGAAGTGGTGCGCCCTGTGCTACAGTATCTCTACGCCAGCCAAGCGGATCCTGACAGCCCGATTCTAGATCGGCCCGTTATCTTGCATGCAAATGTGTTCCGATCGGCGAGATCGATTGAGGTAGGCTAGAGACTGAGAGAGAGAGGGCGAGAGAGAGCAACAGTCTTACAACTTTTTGCAGCCAGCCGTCGACCCGGCCCTCTTCGTCGAGCGTACCCAGACCCTATTTCCGGATGCGACCATCTCGCTGGGGTGGACACGACAGCAAAATGTCAGCCAGCTCAAGGACAAGTACAAAAAGTGGGTTTTCAGGAGGCTTTTCTCACTCTCTCTCACTCTCTCTCGCTCTCCATAAGCTGGAAATAAGTTATTTCAGGCTCACCTGGCACTCGCTCTTCATGATCCTCGAGCACATTGCCAAGCTCGATCAGCCGGTGATGCTCTCCGTTCGGCTGTCTGTGGTAAGCGAGTTACGGAGCACTACGTCGCTCTCTCTCGCTCTCTCGCTCGCTCTCTCTCTCTCTCTCTCTCTTTCTCGCTCTCTCGCTTTCTCGCTCCCTCTCGCTTTGCTTCTCATCGACTCAAGCTCATGCTCAGGCTCAGGTTTAGACGTAGGCTTAGGCGAAAGATCGATCTACTTTTCTATTTTTATCTTTTTCAGGCCCAACACTCTGCCGAGCAGCTCGTCTGGCTGCTGGGCATGGACAAGAGCGTGTCGCTGCTCATCTGGAGCGACGAGGAGGACCAGGTTTGTTCGCAATCTATGATATTATCCTCATTTTCTGTAGATCACCAACTGGGACAGCCTGGTCGAGCTGCGCCGGGAGTCGACCCGAAATCGGATCGTCTACGATTTACTACCCCGGCATCGGGACCAGTTGAAGAACATGCCGCCCAAGGAGGTCGAGGTCTGCAAATTCTGTTATTTTAAAGGGACAGTGACACTCTGATTTAATCACCTTTTCTTTCAACGGCATTTTTTAGCAACAACCCCGCTTCGACTTGGCCGCCTGGCGCTCCGTCGAATTTCCATCCACCTCCGCCACGTTGTCAGGAGTTGTTCGGAGTGAAAAGGTACCAAAATAGCTGTCTACGGTACTCTCAAATTCGCATAGCTGAATTTATACAGTTTAATTACATTTTTCAGGGCCCGGCCTTCATCGGGCAACCCGTGGCGCTGCTCGTCTCCCAGAAGACGCCGCCGACATTCCCTGACGAGCAGTCCGTTGAGGGAAAGGTAGCAAAGATTGTTGGGGAAGAGGAGAGGGCAGGCTAGCAGAGATTGTTGAGGAAGAGGAGAGGGCAGGCTAGCAGAGATTGTTGGGGAAGAGGAGAGGGCAGACTAGCAGAGATTGTTGAGGAAGAGGAGAGGGCAGACTAGCAGAGATTGTTGAGGAAGAGGAGAGGGCAGACTAGCAGAGATTGTTGAGGAAGAGAAGAGGGCAGGCTAGCAGAGATTGTTGAGGAAGAGGAGAGGGCAGACTAGCAGAGATTGTTGAGGAAGAGGAGAGGGCAGGCTTGCAGAGATTCCTTGCGGAATAATTTCCAGCCAAAAGACCCATTTTCAGGTCCATTTTCTCCCCAAAACGCACGCGCGCGACTTGGAGCTGGAAGAAAATTCGGGTACGTTTTTGTCTTTTTTTATTCGTTAGATCGAACTATAGAAGAGCGCGAGGGAGATAGACAAAGAGAGAGAGAGGGAAAGAGAGCGAGAGCGAGAGGAACGAGAGAAAAAAATACAATTATGCCAATTCCAGGCCTTTCCATCCATCTGCTCGACCGTATCCAAGATTTGGACTCGCCGAAAATCGATAAGGGCATTGAGGTACGGTAGCCTAAGCCCAAGACTAAGCCTAAGCGAAGCCTAAGCTTAAGTCTAAGCTATTTATAAAAGTTAAAATTTCACATTTACAGATCCTAATCAGTTATGGCGGGACGATATCGATCGATAATCGGCAGAAAATGCAGAATCGGAAGTGGGAAATTGGTTTTTGTTACTTTTTATGATTGATTAATTTTTTTACATGCCGTTATGAGAATCAAGAATTTGAAAAAATTGAATTGAATGAATTGAATTTAAAAATATTTGAAAGTAATTTTTATATTCATTTTTAGATACTATGAGGCCAAGTCGATCGGTCAGCTGCCGGCCAGCGATTGCTACGGCTTCAAGGTCACCGACAAGGTCAGAAAAAGCTTATTTAAATTACGCAATTTTTTAATTATAGTTTTTCCTAAATCTTAAAAATCTTAGCTTATAAGTAATTGGCCAAAATCCAATCTGAATCCCGATTTTCAGGGCTGGAAAGTGATCGCCGACGTGTGGACGGAGCCGTGCCCGGGGCACCGCCGGAAAAAGCGTGAAGTCATGCACATCGAGCTCGACACACCGTTCCAGAAGTGGGCCATTTTGAATCCGTTTAAAATCCTTATCTCGTTAAAATTTCAGTTCCAAAAATACCGACGACCAAAAAGAGGCCGTTAAAATCCGGAATTTTTCCATTTGCAGGCCTCACAGTAGCTTTTTTCGAAACGTCGTCCGAATTCGAAACAACCGAATTATCAGAAATCCCGACAAATCGACGAAAATGCCGACTGTCGATAACTATTCGAAAAATTGTCGACGTTTCGAAATTTTACATTTTTTACACTTTTCAACATTCGGCATTTTCCGGTGCCTGAAAGTGTCGGCATTTTTTGCTAGTCACTATTTTACGCCTCCTGGATACCGTAGCCCGTCGAAAAATACAAATTTCAGGGGGCGCCCGCTGCGGAACGTGGTGGTCGCGAAGCAAGGGGACGATTCGATCGACTTCCTGCTGGAGGCTTTGCATCATTCCTCCGCCCCAGCCATTCAAATATTCACCATTCTTTGCTTATTCCTGTTTTTGCGGTTTTTCTAAGTATAATTGTATTTGTTTAGCTCAAAAAAGCTAGCTTAAGTTTTAATTTTCTTGCTTAAAATTAACAATTTTCGCCAAAAATCGAATTTTTAATCTTTAAGCCTAAAAATTGGTTATTAAGGGTTAACTCAAAAAATTTTAAAAATCCGAGACCAAAGAAACTATTCACGCGTGTTCTGTGATTTCTTAGATGATTTTAATCCTTTTTTCATGAATTGCCTCGTTTGCCCGGTGCCAAAAATCACTCTCTGTCTCTCGTTTTCCCTCTCTCTCTCTCACTCTCTCTCCCTCGCCTTCTTTGTCTCTCGCTTTCTCTCTCTCTTTCTCTCTCTCGCTCTCTATCGCTCTCTCTCTCTCTCTCTCTCTTTCTCGCTTCTATAATTTTTGATGTTGATCTCCGCCCAAAATCAGATGCGCCCCATTCACTTCCCTCAAAACTCCAAACTCCCCCAACTGCCTCAGCACGGAAATTGCCGGCATTTATGTAAAATTTGTTTTTATATTTTCCGTTTTTCATAGCTTCCCCCGAATTGCTCATTTCTATACTTAATTCTTATTTCGTATGCGATAAAAATTGGATCAAATTTGACAAGTAAGACAGCCCGATTTTTTTGAGGGAGAGTGAGTTGTTTCTCTCGCTGTCTCTCCTCTCTCTCGCCTTATAAAAATATGTTTCAAGCGTATTGTGATGTAGTTTTCGGTTCTGATTCCGAAATCATGGTCAGAATCGCTGGCTTTGAGGAAATTACACTCAAAACAGCCTCCCAAGCTGCGACGACGGTGCACTTGATGGAATACTGATGAAAACCCTCGTAATAATCTTTATCCGACCCGCAAAAAACGCGTATAATCAAAGTTGAGGAGCCGTTGGCAGGGCTATTCGTCGAAGATGGCGGCGACGAGGAGGGCGCTGACCATGGCGAACATGACGGGCATCGTGGCCGGGCTTCCGTTGAGGGCATTACAGTAATCGCTCCGGCAGCATGTCAGGTTGCCCGGGACCTGCCTCCCATCAAATGGATGGTCGGTGAATGCGCGATCCTGGAAAGGAACCTCTCGACCTCAGCCTAAGCCTCACCTAAGCCTAAGCGTAAGCCCAAGCATAAGCATAAACCTAAGTCACTCCTAAGCCTAAGCCTAGCCTAAGTAAGCTTAAGCCTAGACTAAGCCTAAGCCTAAGCCTATGCCTAAGCCTAAGCCTATACCTAAGCCTAAGCCTAAGCCTAGCCTAAGTAAGCTTAAGCCTAGACTAAGCCTAAGCCTAAGCCTAAGCCTAAGCCTAAGCCTAAGCCTAATCGTGGATGCACTGACCGTACACATCTTGTAGCAATTCCGCAGCACTGCGCAGGGACGTTCCTAAAATTGTGGCGGTATCCGCTAAAAATGTTGGACTCACGAAGGGAACGAAAGTGCCACAAGCGATCGCGTCCGGACACTCGACTTTTTGCTGAAAATCGTAAAATTTGGCAAACTATAGGGTATGGGTGCCGTTTACCCCCTTCCCCAGCCGGCCGCCCCCTACTGTATCTCGGCTCCCCGCCGTCCTACGGTTGTGTAAAGTACACCAAAATGTTCGTCTTGATCTGGCGAGGACTTTGGTATAATTTACACCCCTCTAGCACAACGGGGAACCAAGATATAACAGTAAAAAGTGCGCTTACCACAGCTTTTCCCCGTCCTTTCTGGCACAGAATCGCGTCGGTGGTGACGGCGACGACGCAGATGAGGAGCAGCAGCTGGCGCAACATTCCTCAGCGCGAATTTGAGATGAGCAAACATTTTATGCGCCATTTCGGCCAATGTTGATGCTATATGCAAGCGCTAGTTGCATGCAAGGCATCCAAAAAAAGCCAGGGCTGCGGGGCACTGGCCTGTTAGCAGGGGAACAAATTTTCCCAGCAATTCTGTACGGTCCTATCAAATATAAATCTATCGTATTTTTACAGCTCTGAGAAAATGTTGTAAAAAGGTTCCAAAAACAAAAAATTTCCAAAATTTTTGATTTTTTGATCAAGAAGGGATGAAAAATCTCCAGAAATTTACAGAAAGTTTATAATTTTTTTTTGTAACGTTCCAAAAGTCAAAAACCGCGAAAAACACTGTAAAAAATCGTTTTTATTCTTAACAGCTAGGTATAGGCGGAAAAACACAAAAAAATAATTTTTCCGTTCCCTAGAAACCCGTCCCCCCGCTAACAGCACAGTTCCATCCCGTGGGCTGTAGGATCTCTTTTGCTATGGCTCTTTTTCTCTTTCTCTCTCTCTCTCTCTATCGCTCTCTCTCTTTCGCCCTCTCCTGATTCCAATCAGTGATCCGGGATCACAATGTAACTGGGGGTCACAGTATCAAGCCGGTGCGGGGGAAGAAAAATAATCCGCGCGCGCGACATCGTCCCCCCATTCGGACATGGGTTTATGCAAACAGAGAAATCAGAAAGGGGGGAAGGGGACTTTAATCTACCGTAACCCTGTCTGGACACTTTTTAGGGCCACCGTTTCCCCTATCAAGTTGGGTGCAATCAGAAGCAGAACATCGGGACAATTCGGGGCGACTGAGTAGGCCGAAGCGCAAATAGGCGCCTGGCGGACATCGGCACAAAAAATAGACATTTTCTGCTTCGCATGACCCCCCGAAGGGACGGGCGCGTATCTAAATCGGAAGCTGGCGGATGGTCAAGCTGATGGTGGTGATCTTGTGGATTTCTTGATTTTCGAGTGCATTTAAGAGATTTTAAAATCTCGTGCCTTTCCTAAAAGATCTTTGCTAGCCTGCCCCGAAATGGTCGAGCTTCGGGACTTTGATCTTGTGGTTTTCCTGACTTTAGAGCTCCTTTAAGATGATTTCCCTTGCCTTCGACCTTTTCCTAACAGATCGCTGCTAGCCTGCCCTTAGACTGGGCAAGCCTGATGGTTTTGAGCTTGTGGATTCTTGACTTGCGAGTCCCTTTAAAGCCGCCCAGACTTGGTCCTAATTCCGCAAATTATCTCTGCTAGCCTGCCCCGATCTTAAAGGCCCAATGAAGTGAGAGAGTGGTCAACCATGGTGGCTTTTATTTTGTGGATTTCTTGACTTTAAAGCTCATTGAAGATGATCTAAAACCTTTTCCTAATCCATCTCTGCTAGCCTGCCCTGCGTGGTCAACCTAGATGGATCTGGATTTATGCATTTCTTGATTTTTGGTGTCTTTTAAGAAACCTAGAAACAGGAAAATCTCCTAAATCTTCTCTGCCAGCCCCTTGTCTTTACAGGTAAAAATATGAGAATATTCATACATTTCCACATTTGCTACCCCTTTAAGACTCCACCAACCAGCGAGTCGACAAGAAACCTATCAAATTCGGGAATACCGGGGTAAAAACCCGTCTCACACCCCCCGAGGGGACGGGCTCGCTTTTCAAGGCTAGGGAGGGAAAGGTGCGAATGGCATTGTTGTGGAGAGAGAGAGAGGATGCTAAAACTTGTCCCTTTTACAACATCAACCTGTATGGGGGAGATTCTTTACAAGTTGGCGACCACTCGACACCAAAGCCATATTCTGCAGGCTCTTTTTGCTAGATGTTCCTCAAAAACTTACAACAATCTCTGCTGGCCTGCCCTCTCCTCTTCCTCAACAATTTCTGCTAGCCTGCCCTCTCCTCTTCCTCAACAATCTCTGCTAGCCTGCCCTCTCCTCTTCCTCAACAATCTCTGCTAGCCTGCCCTCTCCTCTTCCTCAACAATTTCTGCTAGCCTGCCCTCTCCTCTTCCTCAACAATCTCTGCTAGCCTGCCCTCTCCTCTTCCTCAACAATCTCTGCTAGCCTGCCCTCTCCTCTTCCTCAACAATCTCTGGTAGCCTGCCCTCTCCTCTTCCTCAACAATCTCTGCTAGCCTGCCCTCTCCTCTTCCTCAACATCTCTGGTAGCCTGCCCCTCTCCTCTTCCTCAACAATTTCTGCTAGCCTGCCCCTCTCCTCTTCCTCAACAATCTCCCCTTTAGCCTGCCCTCTCCTCTTCCTCAACAATCTCTGCTAGCCTGCCCTCTCCTCTTCCTCAACAATCTCTGCTGGTCATCCTCCGAAGCTCTACAATTTCCTAAAGAATCTCTGCTATACCGAGCGGAGAGCGAGAGCAGAGAGAGAGAGAGAGAGAGATACCTTCCC